CATCCTTCAGGAAGTCCCTGACTGGTGCATGAAGCCCTCTTACCCTTTCCCCATTCGCCTGTGATCGGTAGTGTCTTATTATAGATGCAATACACCGCTCCGCCAGTGCGGCATGGGATTTTAGTTCGTCCACTTGTGCTGCATCTTTCAGGAAGTCTCTGACTGATCCATGAAGCAGTCTTACCACCCCATCGTCAGCAATAATTATGAAGCCACACGAATCGATCAACTCCCTGGTAAATAGAATACGGCTAGCCTCGTCATCATCAGGATGTAGCTCGCAGGCTTCGAATAATTCTGGAATTGTGAATGGACGTTGTGCAATCGCAACAAAGCGCACGAGCTTCAAGATAAGTGGTTTGTCATCTTCATCGGACTGTGTAATAGCTGTGTCGAATAGCTTCTGGTAGAGAAAATATAACCCCTTTGGTAAATGTTGTAGCGTCTTTACTGCCTTTCTCGCCTGGACTCGTCTTAATTCACCGCAAGCAATGCCGACCCACAAGAAAGTCCCTTCTGCCCTCTGTTCCAGGATCTGTGATATTTCTGTCATCAGTGGTCTCGGGTAGTTGTTCTGTCTGCTTAACCAGGCAACCCTCTCCTGAATCATTGTTTTCAAGTCAGTTGTGACTGCAGGGTAGGCAGACAGATCCCGGTGTGAGAAAGATGATAGATACCGACGAATCTCAGGATATGGCCGACTAGTAATCAAGAAATGCATGGCATTTGACGAGGATTGTTGTGGCTTTGAATTACTAAATGTTCGGTCAATTTCGTGAAGGATTATCCATTGGTCATCTGGTTCGCATTCGTCTAGAGCATCGACGATACAGTAGGTTCCGGAAATAGAGGGATCTTGGCCCATGTCCATCAAAACCGACCATAAGGCATCAAATGAAGTAAATAATTTTGCTTTCCGTTCCGTATATTTCGGATGCAAGTACTTCATCAGAGATTTATGCTGCGTGATCAATTGATAAAGAAGCCCCCGTAGGATAGAGGTTGCGGTCCGCTGGTGCTCAGAACCGGAATCGCAGAAAAAATAAGCAAGCCTCTTTCTCCCACTAAGGAATTCAATTTGGTTTGGAAGTTCTTCCGTTAATGTGATGGCCATGGTTGACTTTCCGGTTCCGGGGTTTCCGTATAGCCAAAATATATTTGACTCTTTCTGAGCACCGTTTTCACCAATTTGGAGCCAGCTTTTAAGTTCATCTTTTTCCAATATCCAGCTGCATGTACCGGGAGCACGATGTCCCTTTCTCCGTTCGAGTGCTTTCCTGTCATCTGTCGGGTCTGTAATGAACAGATCGTGCAAACATGCTTTCTCTTCGGCAGTGAACTCGGTTTCTAGGCACGGTTAGCACCATATGTGAGTTCCTTGGAAATCACATACTTTGGTCTGGTTGAGCGTTAATCCTGGTACTAGGAACAACAGCCAGTAGTGCAGCAGCGTATGCAGCAGCGGAAAGAGCAGCATACTCTTGCCATTCCTTGTTTTTATGAGAGTCGCAATAATCGCAGATACCTCGAATAACGAGGCATGGCAACTGATCCATTAACCCAGCTGCCTCCATCTCAAAGCAGAGGATACCTAATTCTTCGGCAATAGAATCTCGTGTCTTAGCGTCCTTCATGACTTGATTCCCAGAAGCAATCAACCCGTAGTGAATGACTGGCTCGTTGGTCTTTCGTGTTTGGCGAGTCACTAGCTGAGACTGATCACATGCTGAACAGTGGGTAAGCTTGGTGTCGTGGTGATAATCAGGTTTGAACAGCCAGTCTTGATCTGGACGTGAAATTTGTTGCTTCTGAAACATCTCTGATATACCTTTCTTAAAGTGAGAGTCACTGCGTATTTGAGATACTGCGGTGAGAAGGTATTGCGGGGGCTTATTAAGCGATCCAGTGAGATGTAAATATCCATCGTAAAGTGTCTTCCCATAGTCATATTGGATCACGCCTCCATAGGTTGCTGTTGGCATACTAACGACGATATCACCAAGGCGAATATCTGTGCTTTCGCTGGGCACACCACCACCAATGCCCACCATTACCGCAAATCGAAGAGAAGGAAACGTCGGCAACATGTGAGCAAGCACGATTGCCGCAGATGTGGTTCCGTAGACGCCTGATGGGAGACAGGCCACCACCACATTGTGCCCGGCAACATTCCCAAGTGTGTATGCATTATGGTCGGTTTTTGGCTGGGGCAGTGGAGAATGGATCTTATCCAGCATGGTCTTTGCCGCTGCCATCTCCAACGGCAAGGCGCAGATCCATGCTACTGTGTAGTCGCCGTGTTTGAACCTCATCCTTGCATATCATTAGATAATTAAAGACTCGACAATATACCTCACTGTGGTCCCCTGAAAGGATAACTATGGTTTAGAGCCATCCAGCGGGAGGGTTGAACTGTCAGGCTGAGATGGTTGAAATGGAGGGGCAGCGGTGCTTTTGTAGTGCTGAGCCCCCTGCGGCAACCAATGATTTGTCCCCAGATATACCTAGGTATGTTTGTCAACCAGAATGAGCCTATCATTTCTACTATGCTAGAAATGGTTTAGACACCTTTTTGGCGTAGTGGTTTGATGGCTGACAGTTTGAGAGAAGCAAAAATGGAGAAGGCAAAAGAGGTCATATATACAACCAAACCAGCACTCTTACCAAACCCCAAGCAGAAGGAAAATAAGGTTTATTCACGTTACTCTACATTGAGACCTTTGAATTTTATTGAATTCATATTCAATTCCTGAAAGTGTCTGCCAAACAGCGCCAGCTATTCCCACCGGCTTGGTGCCAAAATATGGAAGAATGAATGTGTCACAGCAGGGGCACATCAGCCCCGAGCGTGGTGATATTCTAATAGTCCGTTACACTAAGATAATTGCAGTAGAGCAGTAAATGGAGCAATCATGAGAGGAATCATGCAGATCAAGCCCTGGAACCCGAAAGGCCAGGACAAGCCAGCCCAAAGAAGGCAAGCTGGGGATGAGTGAGAGGAGCGCGTAGCAGCAAGCTCTCGACATAGAAATGCAATCTTCTTTTGCGGACGCATGTGCAGGCGTGCTAACTAGTATCGCTTTCTCTCACTACGTTCGTTTCAGGGCATTCCGCCACCAGATCTGATCCATCGCGGGAATCTTGGGTGATTCAGCATGCCCCGCCCATATCCTATACACTTATGCTACTCTACTACCCATTTGGTCCATATATAGTAACGAAGGAAGGCAACCTACCCCTGACAGCACGGAATGCCTCCGAATGAACCCCACATTCTTCCCATTGGTGATTCATCCCACACCTCCAGATGCGCATACAGCACGGAGCAGATGACCGCCATTCCCTCACAGCGTCGACAGCGTCAGCGGATGGGGAGAAGGTGTCCGTGTCATACACTGTGTGTGCGTCCAGTATTGGCCATACATGGGAGACCCGAGGTGGGAGCTATACTCAGATCAATACAGTGAGGGACTACTTTAACTTGCATTAGGAAATCGTAGCCATTTTCGAGGTTATTCACGCCAAACAAGTGCGCATGGGCAGGATAGCATGGGCGTCGAGCAGAGAACCCTGGGACCACTCCACAGACGGGATATGTCGTCTTTCATGATGAAGTTGTATATCCAGGGAAATTAGCGACAAAACGCGGTCAGAAGGTCTATTTGAGAACGGTTAAATGATATAGCCCTATTCTCTAACATCCTATATCTTATTTGTCATAAATCATGCCAACTGGACTGTTAATTCCGCCATCAGATCCGCTCCACTCGGCGATCTTTCCGACCCCGCTTTCTCCTCGTCTTCCTCTCTTCTTTCCCCTCATCATTGAGATCTCTCAATCTTCAACTCTACCTGGGTCATCATACAACTACACAAGATGGCTGATTTCTCCTCCATTCCCATCATCGACTTTGGTCGACTTCAAGATCCCTCCACCAAAGAAGAAACTCTCGCTCAGCTGCGGGAGGCTATCTTCGTGGTGGGATTCCTGTACCTAACCAACCATGGCATGGAGGTATACCAACTGCACTTCATGATCTGTTGCTGTACTGACTAAATTCAGGCAATTATTAAAAAAGCACATGCTGCCCTTCCCGAACTCTTTGCCTTACCGTCCGAAGTCAAAGAAAAATGCAACATGATCAATTCCCCCTCGTTCGTGGGATATACCCGGCTGGGCGCGGAGACAACGGCCGCACGAACCGACTGGCGCGAACAGTTTGACTTTGGAACGCCCGGTATGAAGCAGTGGTCGTCCAATGATCCGATTTGGCAGAGGCTTGAGGGGAACAGCCAGGTATGTTCCACCTCTTGAGGCTGACTAGACGACTGACAAATGTAGTATCCCGATTACCCCGGTGCCCAAGAACTGGTGGAGGAGTACATCGCCGAGTCGGCCAAGTTGTCTAAAACATTCATGCGCCTAGTGGCCGAATGTCTGTCTCTACCGCCGACCACCTTTGAAGCGTTCAAGGGGAACATGGACCGACTCAAGTTCGTCAAGTACCCGCAGTCCCCGCCGGAGTCGCAGGGTGTCGGTCCGCACAAGGACTCGGCCGGGCTGTTTACGTTTCTCTCGCAGGATGATACGGGGGGATTGCAGGTCCTCAATAAAAAAGGCGAATGGATTGATGCGCCGCCAATCGAGGGGAGTCTGGTGGTGAATATTCAGCAGGGATTTGAAGCTATTACGGGGGGTGTCTGTACGGCCACCACGCATCGCGTTATTGTATGTTGTGATCCATCCTTGATTGACGGCCAATCTGACGTTGATAGGCACCCACGTCAAAGACCAGATATAGCATCCCTTTCTTCCTTGGGGTGCGACTGGACCTCACCCTGGCCCAGCTCAAAGAGTCGGCGGCGCATATCGTGCAGCGGATCCCGGCGTCGGATGATCGCAAGAAGAGGGCAGTGGATGTCCCGAGCGAGTTTCTGTCGCCATTGTACTCTTGCGTAAGTCCCTTTTCTACTTAGCGTTGTCTTCTTGGTCTAACGATGATAGTTCGGGGAGGCGCATCTGCGGAATCGCATTCTGAGCCATCCGGATGTAGGCCAGAAATGGTATCCGGAGTTGTATGAAAAGTATTCCAAGCAGGTATTGACATAGAAGAGTTAATATAATAGCATCCTCTGCTATTCAGTAAGACGACGATTATTTCTCGATTGGGATGATTGCGCCCCCAATTCCGCATTCGCGAATCAGCCAATATCCAGCAGGTTACGCGGAGCCCTTGCGGGATCAGCATCGAAGTAAGACATCAGACTGGCTGGTAGACATGGATTAGCCGCTTTAGTATCAGCAACTAGCCCACTAGTCGTACAGCTATGCATAGATGAAGTCCGTGGCTGACACTCTTCAGCCCGCTCAGCTGGTCTGTGCCCGACCTTCAAATAATGAATAAATCTTACACCTCCCCATCCGATTTTCCTCATCATACGATTATCCCCTAAAAATTCATCAAATATGGCCAAGCTCGCTGGGCTCGGGCTGCTTCTATCGGCCATCCCTGCGTTGGCCGTCATCGCGACCGTGAATTCGCCCTGTTTGTCCATCTGCGGAGGCACCCAAAAGACGGTCGACGGCGAGCTGATCTGCAACGATGGCGATTACAATTCCACGGTCAAGGGCCTGACGATGAAGAACTGTCTCCTTTGCGAAAGTACCAGTACCACCTACTCCACCCAGTTCGATAGCGACATCTACTGGTTCATCTGTACGCCATCCCTTGATTCACATCCACATACCATACATATTAACTTTCATCGGTAGTCAACCAGAAATACACAATCCAGGTCTGCGTCTATGAAGACTCCCCCTCGGCCTCGCTCTCCCCCTGCGAGTCGCAATGTCTCCCCCTGAAACCCGTCTTCGAGACCCTCTGGTGGGGCAACAACGTGTCGCTGTACAACTACTGCACGCAGAACAGCAATGCCTTTCCCACGTACGCGAGTGGCTGTTCCGAGTGTTTGAGAGGCAAAGCTGGTTCTAAGGTCATGGGCAATTTCATGGATAATATGGCGTCGGCGTGCAAGACGCAACCGAACGCGACCAAGGGGGAGACGGTCACTCTGGCTCGGCCGCTGTTTGATCTAAGCGTTGCGACGAATTCGACTGCGACGAGTACGGCTACTACGACGGGGATGAGTACGCCTACGTCATCGCCAACTTCTACATCATCATCCTCATCAGGGCTATCGGGGGGTGCAGCAGCGGGAATCGGGGTTGGCGTTGGAGCTGGCGTGATCCTCATCGGGGCGTTCGTCTGGGTTCTGTTCCGGCGACGTCGTCGCGCTGCACAACAACCTCCGTCGATGTATCCTCCGGCTGCTCCAGGGGGAGGCCAAGAATATGCTCACGCGATGCAGCAGGAAGCAGCGCCGTATGTATATCCGGTAGAGAGGAATCCTTCGGGGCTGGTGGAGGCGCCCGACACAAATGGGCAAAAGCCAGGAGGGACATGGGCGGCAGAATTACCATCAAACCATTAATAGATCGCCAAGTAGATGTAAGAATATCAATTGAATCATGACTTTGTGATTGTTGGTAACCAGGTGCGCCATCTCGTATTGATTATTGATCGTTGTGGGCATCAGCCCTGGCGATGCGGGGTATTTGATCAGCCATCTGCACTTTTCAGCTTCATCCTCACCAACTATTCTTTCTCTATCAAACGACGAAATGATTCCCGAATCTGCTATTACCGCTCTCAAAAGCCAGCTCAGGTCGGCCAAGGTCTACACCGCCGACTCAGAGGGCTATCACAATACCCTCCAACGGTGGTCCGACACCGGCTCTAAACCAGCGGTATGCCTATGCCCCTTACTTCCAGACAAGCATCATTCTGACGGTCTGACGACAGGGAATCGTAGTCATGCCGGCTGATTCCGAGGATGTCCGTGCTGCTCTGCTCTGGGCCCAAGAGCACCACGTCGACCTCGCTGTCAAAGGTGGCGGCCACTCTGTCGCTGGCACCAGCTCCTCCGACGGTGGCCTGGTCATTGACCTCTCCTTGATGAAGTCCGTCTCCGTGGACCCAGCTGCCAAAACTGTCACGGTCGGCGGGGGTGCCACCTGGAAGGAAGTCGACGAGGCGGCTGCCCAGCACGGACTGGCCGCCGTCGGAGGCACCGTCAACCATACAGGCGTTGGCGGCCTTACCCTGGGCGGCGGATATGGCTGGCTCAGCGGCCAGTACGGCCTCACCATCGACAATCTGCTGTCTGCAACGGTCGTCCTGGCCAGCGGACAGACTGTGACGGCGTCCGCGACGGAAAACGCCGACCTCTTCTGGGGCCTCCGCGGCGCCGGGTACAACTTTGGCATCGTGACGAGCTTCACCTACCAGGCCCACGAGCAGACCAACCCCGTCTACGCGGGGCTCCTGGCCTTCCCCCCGGACAAAGTCGAGCAGGTCATCGAGCAGCTCAACCTCACCCTCGAGAACCCGGACCCCCGCAGTGGCGCTATTTGCATCTTCGCCCAACCCCCCGGCGCCCCCGGCCCCATGGTCAACGTGATTGTCTTCTACAACGGCAGCCAGGAGCAAGGCGAGAAGCGGTACGCGGGCCTCCTCGCCCTCGACCCCGTCGTCAACACAACAACCATGATCCCCTACTCGCAGCTCAACGCCCTGCAGAACCCAATGGCCACGTACGGCGGCCGCAAGTCGTTCAAGGGCGTCTTCTTCCACCCGCCGCTGGCCCCGGCGTTTGCGCGCAGCATGCTCGCCGACCTGACGGCCCGGCTGCAGGCGGAGCCCGACCTCGCCGCCTCGGCGCTCCTGCTCGAGTTCTACGATATGCGCGCCATCTGCGCGGTGCCACGCGAGGCAACGGCGTTTGCGAGCCGCAGCAGCACGCAGAACGGGCTGATCAACCTGCGGTGGACGGATGCGCGCAAGGATGCGGAGCACCGGGCTTGGGCGCGAGAGATGCAGGCGCGGTGGAAGACCGAGTTGGACGCCAGGGTGCAGGAGGGGGTTCCGCAGTATATCAACTATGCCGAGCGTAAGTCCTTTCCTTCTTGCAATAAATGGCAGGTGTTAATATGTTTGTCTAGCTGGTGACTCCGTGGTGAACAACATCTACGGCGAGAATCTAGGGCGGCTACAGGAGCTCAAGGCTAAGTATGATCCCAACAACGTGTTTCACAAGATGCACCCGATCAGTCTGTAGATAGTCTGTAGATATGGGTATATAGGAGCATGAAATTACAACTTTGCACCTCCGGCCAGAATCATATACTTGACCGTCTTGACAGAAGTCCACCCCTCCAGCGCCTCCTCGCCCATATCCCTGCCAAACCCGCTCTCCTTGACACCCCCGAACGGCGCATTGGCGCTGAGCATCGCCCACGCGTTGACCGTCACCTGGCCCGACTCCAGCGCCCTGCTCACCCGGTACGCGCGGTTCACGTCGTTGGTGAAGACCGCCGCGCTGAGGCCGTGCAGGGTATCGTTCGCCTTGCGGATGACCTCGTCTTCGGACGAGAACTTGGCGATACTCTGCCAATAGCGTTAGCACATCTCCTGTTGTAGTAGGTAAGGAGAAGAGGACGAACCGCCACCGGCCCAAAGATCTCCTCCTTCATAATGGCCGCATCCTCGGACACATCCGCAAACGCCGTATTCTCCACAAAATACCCTTTCTGGCCCACCTTCTCCCCCCCAAACAGCAGCCGCGCTCCAGCCTCCTTGCCCTGCGCAATATATCCCAGGATCTTCTGGTGCTGGGCGCCATTGACGATCGGCCCCTTGGTCGTCGCGGGGTCGAGCGGATCACCAGCCACACCGGGATTCTCCCTCGCCGCTCGCACATACGCTTCGAGGAACTTCTCGTAGATCGTATCCTGGACGTAGATGCGGGATCCGGCCGCGCAGATCTGCCCGTTGTTTGCAGTGATTCCGATCCGGGTCCAGAGCAGGGCGTTCTCCAGATCGCAGTCGTCAAACACGATGGAGGGGCCCTTGCCGCCCAGCTCGAGCGAAACTTTCTTCAGGTTCGTCTTAGCCGCTGCGGCGAGGATCTTCCGGCCGGTGGCGCTGGAGCCTGTGAAGGAGACTTTGCGGATGGAGGGGTGCTCGGCTAGGCTCTGTCCCGCGGGGAGGCCCAGGCCAGCGATGATGTTGACGACGCCGGGGGGAAAGCCAGCTTCGACGATTAGTTGGGCCAGCTTCTGGCCGTAGAGAGGGGAGTTTTCGGAGGTTTTGATGATGAGCGAGTTGCCGGTGGCTAGCGCCGGGGCGAGTTTCCAGATTGTGATCATCCTGGGGACTATTAGTAGCTGTTGGTTGGATAGAGGGTAGGGTGGGCATACAATGGGGCATTCCACGGGACAATGGCCGCGCAGACGCCCAGCGGCTCGCGGAAGGTATATCCCACTCCCCCGGGGATCTCAAGAGTCTTCCCGTCGATCTTGTCGGCCCAGCCGGCGTAGTACCGCAGGTTCGCGATGGTCTGGGGGATGTTCATCCCCATGCTATCGGTGTAGAGGATGCCAGCGTCAACGGCCTCGAGACTGGCGAATTCCTCGGCATCGCGCTCGATCAAGTCGGCGAGCTTGAGGAGGAGTCGGCCGCGCTCCGGGCCGGGGGTTGCGCGCCAGGTCTGGAAGCCGGTGGTGGCTGAGGTTACGGCGCGGTCGACATCGGCGGCGGTGGCGGCGGAGATGGTGCCGAGGATGTTTCCTGTTGTTGGGTTCTCGACCGTGAGGGCCTCGTTGGAGGATGAGGGGGTGAATTCGTTGTGGATGAAGAGGCCGATGGGCACTGTCTGTGTTAGTGTAGTCCGGTAGTCTCATATGGCGGTATAAAAGTACCGGAAATTTGGCGGCCAGCGGCGCCGGTGACAGTAATAGAGGCCATTTGTTCGTCGTCTTCTTTAATTAAACTAAAGAATAGAGAATGCGACGAGGAATGATATGAGGGATGAGATGCTTATATGCTTCCCCTCAGGAGTCGGGAATATCCCGCGTATTCCGACTCAATTCCGAGTGGCAGCGGAAAGGGATCGGCATCCGTCCGCTGTCACAGTCTCTCACTAAAGGACACTAACTACCGTTGATCAGGAAGGTGGGGCGAGAATCCCAATGTAGAAGGGTTATTTAAAGCGAAGGCTTGTTTTCGCAAGCAATCAGAATCATCTTATGAAGCAGCGGTCTACTAATGGGCTTGGCAATCCGTTTCACCTCGTGTCGGCTGTTGGCAGGGGCTTTAAATCCAGCGGTTCTAGCCCGGTATGTATATCCAAGAGAATATCGGTGTACCATTACATACAGGCTAACTACGAATAGGGGAGGTTGAAGAGAGGCTATGTACGGCAAGAAGACAGCATGTCCTACTCTTAGACCGCAGGACAAGCAGCGCCACAGTACATATTTGTATGGCTTTATGACCGTAATCTTCGAATTAGCTGAGTGAGTCTCTACAAGACAACTGTTGATAGATCCATCTGATCATGTATACTGCTGAGCCTCAATTTCTATTCACTCTCATCCAACCATTTTCTGTGCCACAATTCAAGTAGTAGTCGCCTGGTTTACATTAACAGCCTTGTATGCACAGCCTCATTACTTGGTATATATATTCAAAATTCAACATAATCAGTAGAGCAGCCACAACTTATCAGGACTATACATACAGCATCATAGTCTCTTGCTCTAGCAACATGCAATCCGTCACATTCAACCCTAACCCATTCCTCCTGTTCAATATGAAGCACTTTCGCAAAGGCTCTCCCCCAAGATACCTCTTCCGGGTACACGCTCCCCTCTCAGCAGGAGAGAGCAGCGCAAATGCTGTCCGGTCCCCTGCAGCATTGTACGCTCATCCTGAGCAAATGAATGATCTATTTGCCCTTGCCCCCTCTGATGCAGCAAAATTGCTTAAAGATCACCTGCATTGGAAGTGTAACGACAGTTGCAATCTGATGAGCTGGACTACCTCTGTGCTCTTTGCACTGCAGCACGGCCTTCGTCGCCATCGAACAGATAGGCTTTGCCCTGCATTCGCGGATATTTTCTTACTCATGATTGATACACGGGACTTTCAAGAAGGAACCTTCATCAAGGATTTGGAGGTGGTTACCGCTCTGGATACTCACGACAGATATTGGGATGATTATCTAACTCTCCGGAGCACCGATTATTTCGGAGAGTATCTCTCCCAAGGCGCGTTGGATATCCAGGGGAAATGTGTGCAGGTCAGCTTTCAGACGCTGATTGATTTGGGACTCTTTGCCCTGTTTCCTCCGCTTGCTGTTGAGGCCGAATGGGAGAAGTTGGCGAGGAGGGTGGTGGAGCTCCGACAGCCACTTCACAGACGAGAGATTTGTATAACTACCCCCGGTGAAGTGAGAACGGCTGTTCAGCTTGCGAGAGATGGCTTTGGAGGTCGCTGGACCTTTCCTGTTGCTGCCATGTTGCTTGCTTTGAAGCCTCGTGCGAACAATGACCAGGTCATTATTGAAGGATTCGAGGCAGAGTTCTCAGGTAAGGTGAAGCTGAGTATTGTGGAACATGCTAATGAGAGCAGAAAATGAGATACGTGAATTGTCGTTGCATGATATCCAGGTTGATCGTGATAGACTTCCTGAGCTCGTTCAGTTTGAGGATCTGTGCAATGACATTCATCGCCATTTCACTCGGTGGGATATCAATTCGGTATTTTGGAGGGTACGGTGACACTGCAGATTTCTTCCGTGGATGTCTCTTACTAGCTTTCCGTGCCTTGTCTTGCTCAACGTATGGAGAATTATCTACTAATATACGATGAGCAAGCGTGTCCGTCTATGAGATCAACCTACTGGTACATGCAATCTAGTATTCCCATCAGACATGCCGTTGAAATAGTTCATATCACCCTATATACATCATCCAGTTCCCAAGCCCAAATGAAAGTGAGAATCATCTCCACGTATCAGACACTGTCACGGTCGTACCCGCACACCCAGTCGGCACCGTATACGACCGGTTCGGATCGCTCTCCCACACGATGCTCCCATCCGACTCCTTCTTGAAGAACTTGTACTGGAACGAGGTGCCAACAGGCAAGGTCACGGTGGCATACCATTCAGGGTTCGACGAGGTGTACTTACTCGCCGACAGGGCAATCGCAGAACTCGTGCCCCAGTTGCCGAGTTGGCTGATCGAGCCGGTCAAGTAGATGTTCTCGCCGTAGGTGGTTGTGACAAGTTCCTCGAAGAGGATTGGGAGAGCTGTGGCGGATGTGCACGCCGTTGCCGTCTTTGTCGTTGTTGTCGTCTTGGTGGCACTGGTTGTTGTCGTTGTTGTTGCGGTAGTGGAGACAGAGCCACCGCAGAGACCACTTCCACTAGCCCAAGACGAGGGCACAAGAACCCGGGGCAAACCGGATGCCATTGGCACGGCGAGTTTCCCGCTCGAGTCTACGGTGAGAGTGGTGCATGTGTACATCTCGACGAGGGAGGCGCCAGCGGAGTAGCCCGTGCCGCTGAGGGAGAGGGTGTAGGAACTGCCCGAGGATCCCCTGTTGCTGAGGACGGTGATTACTTGGGCGCCAGCGGTTGAGCCCTTGCGCATTGCGAGAGTGTTGGAATCGTAGTAGAACGGGTTGTTCTATTTGCTGTTAGCGGAGAATGTAAAGAAATGATGCGAAATACCTTGGAGGTTACGTAGCCTGAGTCTTTGGAGATCGCTAGTTTGCGGATCTTGTTGGTAGAGGCGATCCAGCTGTACAGCGTGGCGCTGGTCGAGTATCCAGACAGCCAGACAGCCTCTCGGTTGGCCGGGTCTGCGCCACCGCTGTAGTGCTGTTCCTGTCCTGCGTAGACAATGGGGATCCCGTCGGAAAAGAACATGAAAGAAATGACATTCTTGGCTTGCGAATAGTCGCTCGTATAGCTGGAGAGGTTAGTTTGCATACGGCAAAATGAGGGAAGACCTACGAAGCAAATCTGGGGTTATCATGATTCTCGATGAAGTTGCCCAGTAAAGTGGGATCCGCGCAGTCAGACGCAACAGAGCTGATCATGTTGTAGAGATTGCTGATGCTGCCGCTGGTGGATTCAAACGCGTAGAGAAGCTGATAGTATCTGCTCTAGTTAGTATCAAACCCGCGTCGAGAACGAATCGTGATGCGTACATTGGATAGTTAAGCACACCATCCAGGTAGTTCTGGTATGGACAGGTATACGCGGGATCACCGGAAAAGACTTCGCCGACACAATAGACACCAGCAGCGTCATTGTAACCGGGCCAGAAGTCTTTCTCGACATGTTTCAGAGTATCAATGCGCAGGCCGTCGACTATCAGTGTCAGTATCATCCATGCCCAGGTGCGGCGTACTGACTGGAGTAGTTGGCAACCAATGCCTTCACCCAATCATACCAGATGGTCCGCACTGCCGTGTTGGTCGTGTCAAGATCGGGCAGGGAGACAGTGGTATCTCCCAGCCAACAGTCCTCTACATTATTCTGGTTGCTGTAGTCGGAGATGAGACAGTATGGATGGAAGTAACTAGAGGAATCAAAAGGAGTGAAGACCTTGTAGTCTACCGAGTTGCCCGCTCCGTCGTAGCCCTAAACGGTCAGATTCTAATGTGCAACGAGGAAATCTGGCTTACCATATGGTTGGCGACCACGTCGACCATCAGGTACATTCCACGCGAGTGCAGCGCGTCGGCCAGTCTTTTGAGATCTTCAGCTGTTCCATAGTTGGAGTTGACCTCGTAGCTTCGTGGATTAGTATGAATCACAGACTGAGAGGCAGTGCTCACATATTCTGCTGCCAGTACCCATGATAGGAAGTACCATCGCCGGTGTGCTCATAGAACTGCTCAGTTACTGGGGTGATCCAGATGGCAGTAAATCCCATTCCTTGGATGTAGTCGAGCTGACATCGTTAGTTTTGGCTGGCAGATATCAGGAAATCGTACATGATTGATTATGCCCTGCCAACTACCGCCGCAATATAGCTGCAAACGTTAGCATATGCGCAAAAGAGCATGAATAGGACACAAACTCTTTGCGTGACATCGCAGGCCGCAGTCGTGGAATTGTCCCCTCGACCAAACCGATCGGTCAGGAGGAAATAGATAGACTGACTGCGCCATTCGGCTGGGGTCAGAGCATGGGCAGCCTGTCCGAGCAGGGACAGGGAGAGCGGAAGGAGTGACGAGGTCCACTTCATCCTGGCAATGTGCGTCTGCAGCTTGATATCGTGCCAAACGAAGACTTCTCAACAATAGCTAGACTTATATATCCTTGCTACAGCTAGTGGCAACTACACGCCTTCCTAATACGCTACGGATGTCCCGTCCTGTGCATTCACCAGTGATGATCATCCCGGGCGCGTGGACTGATTGATTTCTTCGTCGCGGTGACTGGCGCCAGAGGTGACCAACGCGTCTTTCGACTCCTGCACCGATTGAGTTTGGCAAAGCCGCGTCTAAAGCCGTACATTCATGGCAATAGGTTGGTGAGTCCGGCTCTAGGTAGGTAACGAGGAGCCGAAACCCCGGAACCCCGCGGAATCCCACTAGTGAGCTCGGCAGTTGTGCAGAAGAAACGCAAGTAATCCGTGAAGGCTGCATACTACACGTTTAGTGTGGAAGCGAGGGGGTGATTCGTGGAATTCGGCAGTAGAATTGTACGCGAGGCGATCCCCACACCAGCTAAGCGTGTACTAAAGAGTAAAAAAGGTTAGTGGGCAGTCTCTCCACATTCTGGTTGAGGGGATACTAGGTTAGACATGGCGTCGTAGGCTTGTACATTGTATTAAGGGGAGGAGCCTGAACAGTCTGCTCGTAGTTAGTCGTAGTTATGTAGCAGCCCTAACTCTAATTTTCTCGGATAATAGAACCGTCAGACAATTCACTTGCCATCCGAATCAGACTAACTAAGAGCTGAGAAGAATCCCAGACAGAAACTGACACGGACCTGAGATCCGAGATTCAAGTGTTCATGCCCGACGGAAGCAGGGGGCGGCGCAATTGCGGGGAATCTTAATATCGATGGTCTCTTGGGTTCCTTCAGGCTTGATCCGAATTGGCAACTTGTCCGGCGCTACTGTGGATGCTCTGAATGCACTCTTGGTCTCACCACTTTAGCAGTCCGTGTCTCCGAAAACCGAATTCCCGATCGGCTGACGAGTCTGCAGTCTGCATATCGCAAATTTTCTCCGCAAGCCAAGATGGAGTGAATACGTGCTCATGGAGAGAGTGGAGGCCCGTCCTGGGTGGCGGATGGTAGGCATGAAATGAGCCATTTGCACCGGCAGCGTTAGCTTCGGATAGAAGAACCAGTCATAGCAGCGGAATACTGCCTAAATCTCCGTGAAGGAGTTGCCTGGTGCTGCTGTTCTCTTGCCATTCGGCCTCCAGCATCTCCCCAGGATATCAGGCCTATCACGAACAACGGAAATGTCCGTCTCGACAGGGGATCAATCTCACTATCACATGCGCAATCCATGTTCTGCCGTTGCAGATGGACCCCGTGGGGAACCTGGCTCCCTTTGCATGCTGTCTGGTGGCGTTGTTTATGATCTTTGGGGTTTCTCATATGCAGAAGTATGCAGAAATCGTGAATTTGAATAAGTTTATACTTTCGTCTCTCAGTCCAATCAAATCCTAAGAATTCTGAAAAATGCCCAGCAAAGTATACAAGAAATCCACTCGCCGGAAATACATTCAAGACACACAATCTCTAGCCATGCAGAGTCAAAAAGCTATAAGAAGAGGGATCATCCCCCAGAATTGCCCCTTGCATCAGGATTCAGGACGACCAGTCTCATCTCATCCCCTTGACCCTCCCTTCATCTCATCATTTCCTTGCGGAATCCGTCTATCACCAAGCCATGCCTCGCCTATCCTACGCGCTTTGTGCGCTGGCCCTCGGGCATGCTGCTGTTGCAGCTCCTCGTTTGTCCCCTCGTGCTACTGGCAGCTTGGACACCTGGTTGGCTAGTGAGACTACCGTTTCGCTGAATGGCATTCTCGCCAACGTCGGTGCCGACGGTGCTTATGCGAAGAGCGCAAAGCCTGGCATAATTATTGCCAGTCCCAGCACCAGCAACCCAGACTGTGAGCGACTATTCTGAAATGGCCTAGTGCCGACAATTATTGACATCTGTAGACTACTATACCTGGACGAGAGATGCCGCTCTCACCATGAAAGTCCTGGTCGATCTTTTCCGCAACGGCAACCTGGGTCTGCAGACTGTTATTGAACAATACGTCAACTCTCAGGCCTACTTACAGACCGTTTCTAATCCGTCTGGCGGTCTTTCGAGCGGAGGTCTCGCGGAGCCCAAGTACAATGTCGATATGACCGCCTTTACCGGAGGCTGGGGTCGTCCTCAGCGCGATGGTCCGGCCCTGCGTGCCACGGCCCTCATCGACTTTGGTAACTGGCTGATTGTATGTCTCCCTGTATGAAGAGTGGAAAGCGTTGCTGACAGTCACAGGACAACGGCTACTCCAGCTATGCTGTCAGCAACATCTGGCCCATTGTGCGCAATGATTTGTCCTACGTAGCTCAGTACTGGAGCCAGAGCGGCTTTGGTG